GATCGACAGAGATGTATGTAATCGAGAACAAGAAGGCAACAGAGACACAAGAGTTAGACAGGTTCAAGCCGTCAGCGCGACATAATACCCTACTCCTGTGGTCTGTTGGTTTGTATTGGCGATCGTATGATCTTGCGTGTGTTTTGAGGGGGTCCCTGCCCGCCTTATATAGTCTGGGGATAGGGTTACAAGTCGGTTAGATCTAGGAGATAACCAGAAAGTAATAACAGATTACATGAACCATGAGATCAAACGTATTCTAACAGATCTCATAGTATCTTTAGGATATCGCCCTTGATGTCTCACGGTGCACGCCGAGCAGCGCCGTGCACCATAGGTCTTCGTCTTGTGGGCTGGACCGCCCCTGGGAGCGCAGCCCATGTAGTCTGCCGTGGGTATCCGGGATCGTACCCTCCACAGTTGTCTAGCAAAAAAAAAAATTATACTGCAGTGTACTGATATGCGTGACTCACTCGAACGTGATGGTGACATTACCAGGTTGTGTCTTCCCATCTCCAGTCACCTGTTCAAATTGTAGTGCATCGGTGATGGAGAACCCGGTCATTGGGCTACCATCTCTAAAAATGACATTGTACTCGCATGACACATTGGCACTGCACCCCAGTATTTTTACCCCCATAGGTGGACACATAAAATTTTTACCCCCATAGGTGGACACATAAAACCTATGATCATAGGACACCGTGCTTCCCTTTGAGAATGCCTTGGGGTTGTGGAACATCAAGTGAAACCACACAGAGACTCCCACACCACATTCAACATCAAAATGAACACAACTGGATTAATTTCTAGTTTGACATACAAGAAAGAAAAAGTAGAAAATGGTTACCCCGACTCCACTATTGTGGGGGCATTTTTCACGGGAGATTAAGTTAACTGATAGGATGTCGCTGCCAGCAATGTTGACCTGGACGTGGTAGCGCTTTGGCAGCCTCCCTTGATCTCCATGAAGTACAACTTGCACGCCCGGACCGGCCCAATAATCTCAACAATGTAACAAAATCAAGCACGCCTCCGGAAATCTTGATTCATAATTTCTATAATTTGTGATAGATTACAGATTTTTGACCCCTTGACCAGCAATTATTCCAAGTTTATTTAATTTACAACATATCATAAGACCTGCATCAAGTGACCGTCTTTTTTTTATCGGACATAGAAAAAATGACAAAAAATATCAAGTGACCGTCTCGGCGGCACGATATGAAGGTGAATTGGCGATGGAGGAGTTAGGGTACCGTACGGGTTCAGCACTGAGGAAGGGGAAAGGAAAGGCAACCGTTTTAGACCTGTCTCTCGGAGATGACGTGGTATTACCTCCGTCAAGAAAGAATGCAACTATGGATTGCGTGCCATATAAAGTGGTTCACGTTCAACCAAGTTTCTAGTAAATAATATTCATATTTATGACTCCAAATTAATTTATTATGAAAATACATTTCGTAATTAATCTAATGATATTTATTTGATATTATAAATATTTATATTTTTTATCTATAATTGATCAAAGTTGATATACTAACACGTGATACATTCTTGTGGGCACGGAGGCAGTACCTTCCAAACTTGCAACCACTCTGGCTCGTCACTCCACTCGTTCTGCTCTTTTGGATGCTTGCATGCTTAGCTTAGCTTACCTAATGGCTAATGCCTATCAGCACACGGAGCTTAGAGAGAACCCCCGCCCACATGGAAATATCGATCATTAACAAGTACTGTACGTAAGCAAAAGTGCTCCTTAAGTCGTTTGGCACAAGATGTCATCGTTTGGCACCCTTTTTCTGCCATGCTCTCGAACGTGGACGCCTGCACTGAGCCTCTTCACCGAACTTCAACAAGGAACACATTGTGCCATTGCAATTCATACAATGGAATTCACCCAACATATAATGCTCCCCTCCGTTCCGGTCAATAATTAGAATTTTATTAGGCATCATATATGGCCCGTACAATATAATTTTGGCTAGTTCTTGTTGTACAAGCTCCCAGTTTTCTATACTCTCCTCCACGGCGATTGCTGCCGATGTGGCGATCTGAAGTCAACACTCTGGGACGGCCTTAATGGCCCTACAAGATTGTCCTGCCTCATGTTCTCCAAAAAACTAACCACATGAATGACATGACGCCATTGGGTCACTGTTGGTGGTTCATCTCGTGTTCGTTGCTTATTCTAGACATGCCATTGAAGGTTATATGAGGAGCTGTTAAATCTATGGAAGTTCTGCTCGTTGCACATTCCTAGTTTCTCTGACATGTGTATTCTTTTTGGAGAAAAGTAATATATTATTTGAAAGATCTCTCCATTTTTAAGTTTTTAAGTTGGTTATATGTATGGATGAAAATGGTACGGATATTTATTCGACCGTCCGTTCGACCGAACAAATATGAACACTTATCTGGATAGTTACTCGGATATCCGTAATTTTTTTCGGATACGGATACTAAAACGGATATCTTAGGCGGATATCAAATACGGATGTAATATCATCGATATCCGGCGGATATCGGATAATCCGGATAAGTATCGGATATATCCGGATATTTAAAAACGGATATTATCCGGATATTATTCAAACGACCTTGGATGGAGAAATGATCAAAATAAAAATTGTAGATCTCAAAAAGTTATGAAACTTTGTTGTTTACAACTTTTTCATTTGAAATCATTTAGTGCTTCAAAATTTAAACCGTCCAAACTTTCTCAAATGGAAAACTAGTTTATAGGCGTCAAAATTTAAAAATCACAAATTTGAACCATCCAAACTATCTCAAATGGAAAGTTGACCAAAACAACAATTGTAGATCTTGATGAGTTGAACAAACTTGGTATTCAAAACTTTTCAATTTGAAGTCATTTAGAGTTCATAATACTAGAGTCAAAGTGTTGTTTTTTCATTTGACCAAATTTGACTTGGTCAAACTTGCTCAAATAAGACACTAAATGACCTCAGATGAAAAAACTCTAAATACCAAGTTTGATCATCTCCGCAAGATCTACAATTGTTACATAGCTCATTTTCTCATTTGAGAAAGTTTTATCAAACACTAGTCACAAATTCTTGAATCTTATACAGACTTTCTGAAACTATGTCACACACTTATGAAATTTGAACTATATTTTGTTCAAACTTTCTCAAATGAAAAAATAGCCTATATAAGGATTGTAGATCTTGATGAGATGAACAAATTTGGTATTCACAACTTTTCAATTTGAGACAATCTAGGGTTCCGAAAACTAGTTTGTAAACATCGAAATTTAAAAATCACAAATTTGAACCGTCCAAACTATCTCAAATGGAAAGTTGACCAAAACAACAATTGTATATCTTGATGAGTTGAACAAACTTGGTATTCAAAACTTTTCAATTTAAAGTCATTTAGAGTTCATAATACTAGAGTCAAAGTGTTGTTTTTTCATTTGACCAAATTTGACTTGGTCAAACTTGCTCAAATGAGACACTAAATGACCTCAGATGAAAAAACTCTGAGTATCAAGTTTGATCATCTTAGCAATATATACAATTGTTACATAGCTCATTTTTCCATTTGAGAAAGTTTTATCAAACACTAGTCACAAATTCTTGAATCTCAGACTTTCTGAAACTATGTCACACACTTGTGAAATTTGAACTACATTTTGTTCAAACTTTCTCAAATGAAAAAATATCCTATATAAGGATTGTAGATCTTGATGAGCTGAACAAACTTGATATTCAAAACTTTTCAATTTGAGACAATCTAGGGTTCCGAAAACTAGTTTGTAAGCATCGAAATTTAAAAATCACAAATTTGAACCATCCAAACTATCTCAAATGGAAAGTTGACCAAAACAAGAATTGTAGATCTTGATGAGTTGAACAAACTTGGTATTCAAAACTTTTCAATTTGAAGTCATTTAAAGTTCATAATACTAGAGTCAAAGTGTTGTTTTTTCATTTGACCAAATTTGACTTGGTCAAACTTGCTCAAATGAGACACTAAATGACCTCAGATGAAAAAACTCTGAATACCAAGTTTGATCATCTCAGCAAGATCTACAATTGTTACATATCTCATTTTCCCATTTGAGAAAGTTTTATCAAACACTAGTCACAAATTCTTGAATCTCATACAGACTTTCTGAAACTATATCACACACTTGTGAAATTTGAACTACATTTTGTTCAAACTTTCTCAAATGAAAAAATGGCCTATATAAGGATTGTAGATCTTGAATCCATGACCATGACTCCATGAGACCCATGAAGCCATGAGCTTGGCTATTTCTACTCATGCCGCGAAGATTGGTGCTTGTATGATGTTTGATGTATGATGTATCTATATCTTTATCTTATTTGTTGCTTTACTCTTTAGTCTTTCGGCTTAATCTAGATGGATTATGGACTCATAGAGTGGTGTAATGGTTTGCGCACGTATGATATATATATATATATGATGCTTTTACTCAATATCCGAATAGATATTTGTATCCGACCTTCTCCGAATCCGATTCATACCGTATTCGATACTCATTATTCGTATCCGTAACCGAGTCAATCCGTATTCGTATATGTATCCGAACGCTATCCGTGTCCGAATCCGAATCCGAATCCGAACAGAAATATGAAAACAAATATAATATGAGTGATATCCGTTCGTATCCGATTCGTTTTCAGCGGACGTTCAAATTACTGAATTTGTGGACCATTTAAGTCCTGCATTAGTGGGCCGAATCAGGGCTCATTCTCATGGGTTGGGCCTTAATTCGGTCCATTAAAAATACGACTCGCACCCACGGACCCACCAACCACGCCGCCGGCCACCTTTCGTCCCCTTGCTCCGTCATCCTATCCGATCCCCAACTACTTCGTCTCCGTCTCACGCCTCTCCTCCTCTCGCCGCCATCGCCCCGCCTCTGCCTCCGCCTCCTCCATCGCACCCAGTCCTCCATCCCCACCCCCACCCCCACCCCACCACGTCGCGTCGTCGCGGCGGCGGAGATGCAGGCCGCCGCCGCCTTCAACCGGGCAGCCTTCACCGCCCGCCCTCTGCATCGCCCCCCGAGGCCCCTCCTCCACCTGTACGCTCGGCTCATTTCCATCCTCTTGACGTGTTAGCTAGTCAGTTTGTTAGTTTCGGCCTTCACATGCTGATTAGTTCATGTGGCTTTGGTGAATTTTGCAGAGCTGGGGCGGAGGATGCTTTGGCGGGAAGAAGAGGCGCGCCCCTGACACGGCCCCGGTGTTCCGGGAGCCTCTCCGTCGGCGTCGGCAGCTACGGCAGCGGTAAGGACGGAGAAACCGTAGATTCAGTTAATGCCGTAGCTGCAGTTATTCTGCTACCTTGCTTATCTAGGAAGCAAAACTCGGGAGGCATTACAAGAATGTTATAGTTTATCGAGTTCAGAATTAATAAACAATTGAACATGATCCTAAAGGAAAGGGAGACACTGACGGAAGGTTTTGTGATTTGTGTATAACAGCCTGTTAAGCTTCTTTCAGCCTAAAAGAAGCTTAGTTGTTTTCGGAAGGCAATCGATGTGAACCATTGTGCATGTTGCCTTTTTGTTGACTGTAAAAACCTGCACAAAGTCTGCAAAAATCGTCTCTTCTGGTCAACTCTATCGTTCTGTGAGATAAGAGAAATGTTGAGACACAATTTGCCCTGTGACATCCACAAATGTTAGCTCCTTGGGTAACCATAAATCACCTGTGTCCCTGCCCAGTTAGCCTAACTTAGCCCATTTTTTTTGTGAATCTGGAAAATGGTTACTGGCTGATAATAACTGTTCCCCTCTGGACTCATTGTCCTGATAAGATCAAACGAGCTGAAATCTAGGTACAGAACCTACTCCTCATATTGTGAGACTGGGATTTAACCTGTCTTTGTTTATTGAGGCTCTGCACAAGTACATATAACTTTACTTTTCTTTTCTTTTTGCCATTCTTTTTTTTTTTTGCAATTGTTTCTAGGGCCACAGTTCGTTAATGTTGAGTTGGTTAATCATGTTTCAGCTCAGGCTTCTCTACGTATTGCTGAACCAGTTGGAAAAGATATCATAACTTCAAAGTTTCATTCACTTAGTCAGAATCTGGAACAAACATTTTGAACCATGTTTGGCTGTTCTTACACTTTGATTGGTGAAGTGAAAATACCAAATCTCTGTAGTGGAGATATTGAGTTAGCATTTAGCAAGCAAAGCTTAGCCTCAGTTGTGATCAATGAACCTTTAATACTAATTTTGTGTGGCTAAGAGTTAATTTTCTGTAGTTTTTTCATCATCATGGTTGTTATTTCAGTTTTTTTTGGTTTTAAGCTGGAAGACTCTTTCTTCAGTTCCATACTTTTGTGCTGCTGGTTGTTTTAGTACCAGCATTAGCTACTGTATCTCCACTGCAGTTGACCTATCTATGTGCATCTGCAGGGCACACTCCAGTATTTCCAAGACAACAATCATGGGATCCGTACAAACTTCTTGGCATTGATCATGATGCATCTGAAGAAGAGGTCCGGAGTGCACGGAATTTTCTTCTAAAACAATACGCTGGGTATGAAGAAAGTGAAGAGGCCATTGAAGGTGCTTATGACACGATAATAATGAATAGCTACTCACACCGTAAGAAATCCAACATCAATCTGAAAAGCAAGCTATAAAAGCAAGTTGAAGAATCCCCATCATGACTTAGGCCCTGTTTGGTTGAGCTGTGGCTGTGGGAGAAAGCTGCTGTGGGCTGTGAGCTGTAGAAAAGCTGAAAGCTGTTTGGTTAAATAAGTATAAAATATACCTTTTATCTTTATCTCTCTTGAAACAACTATGGAAGAGCTTTTTATTCCACCAATTTCGAAAAGCCAAAAGCCAAAAGCAGGGTCAAACCAGCTTTCAAAAATGAACTACGGAAAAACAGCTGCTTCTGAAAAAACACTCTCTAAAAACAGCCCCTTTGGTTGGGCTTTTGGCTTTTGGGGCCAAAAGCCAAAGCCAAAAGCCCAACCAAACAAGGCCTTAAGGCACTGCTTGGATACTTTGAGGTGCCATCACTAGAGATCATTTCAAGGAGATTTGCTTTTTTTGCATTCTTTGCTGGGTGGAGCATTGCAACTTCTGCTGAGACTGGGCCGACCTTTCAGGTATGCCTGGATTCATTTGGATAGCTACTCAAATACTGTTTTAAGTACTGAATTTGTTAAATTTAAGACGTTGCTCTCCCTGCATCATACATGTTCACTGAAGGGCCAAAACTGTATATTTATGTAAGGTCATAGACTCATAAGTTCGATTGTCATTAAGGTTATGACTTTGTACTGTCTACCTCTTTCTCTAGTGCCTCTCCAGAAATCACTGGTATTCACAGTAGCTGGGAGATCTCCCTTTTTGTTTGAGAATTAGAATTATGAAACTGGAACATATATAAGATGAAGCTTACTGCAGTTATCTTTTCAGCTGTAACAAATTTTGGAGGCATGCCATTGACAGTTTGCTTTTGCAGCTTGCACTATCACTCGTCTCATGCATATACTTCCTCAATGAGAAGATGAAGAATCTTGTCAGGGCGTCCACCACAGGGTTAGTGAGCATTTCCACTGGATACTATCTTAGTTGTTATAAGTCATGCCCCAGGTTTTAACTTGTTTATTTTTCCAGGCTCGGAGTCTTTGTGGGTGGTTGGATCTTGGGTTCTTTTCTTGTTCCAGTGATCCAAGCTTTCATCATCCCGCCTACATGGTCCCTTGAGCTCCTTACTTCGCTGACGGCTTATGTTTTCATGTTCTTGGGTTGCACTTTCCTCAAGTGAAACTTTGCAACAGTCCTCCAATTCGAAATTCCTGCTGTCATCACAAAGAAGATTGCTCTTGCTGACATCTCCACTGCAAATCCCAACCTTCTGATAAGCAGCTTCTGATAAGCAGCCCCACCTTCACATTTTTCGCCCAAGAGAGAGTGTTCGCTTCGCTGAAAAACCATGGCTGAAAGTACCGTTTGTTGATTTGTTGTGAGAGAAAAATATTGTTCCTTCGCTGAAATCGTACGGCTCATAAGACAAGCGAACATGGCCTATGATGATCTATGCGCAACTGTACCTTGTCCCAGGAAGGATGGGCCAGACTTAAGATACATACGTTTTCGTCGCTCCTTAGGATCTTACTCAAGTGTACGCCATAGCTAGTTGATTAATTCTGTTAGAATAGGCGCCCTAATGGGCTGGCCTTGGACCTAGCGCCTAGCCTGTTAGGCTGGCTGCCTTAGGGGTTAAGATAGATTACATTGATAAGGCAAGGATCACTGTTGATTGGGTGTTTCTATAAATTCTATTGATCCTTGCCTATATATGTCTATATATTGTACCCTGTACTGTTGCTAATCTATCAATCAATTTCCGAGACCTATTCGCTCTCATGGTATCAGCCGCCAGGTTTAGGTCTCCTCTTCCGCTGCCCACTCCACGCGTCGGCCCCTCGCCGCATTGCGCCCCTCCACGCGTCGGTACACACCGTGTTGCGCCACCATGCCCTCCACCCCTCCAGCAACCCCCAGGGCTAGGGACGATCTGGCCGCCTCCTCTGCCACCATCTAGGAAGACGCCGTCGCCCAATGCCTCGCCACGGAGAAGGCGAACGACGCTGCCGCCGCTGCTCAGCGTCTCGAGCGCGAGCGTCAGGCTACGCGTGATGCTGCCCTAGCACGCGCCCTACAGGCCGAGGAGGAGGCCACAGCCGCAGCTAAGGATCGCGACGCTGCCGCCCAGTGCGCTAGTGAGGCACTGGCGCGAGCTGCCAAGGAGCGGGCGACCGCTGCTGCCGCCGTTGCTCCGGAACCCTCTGGCGCCGCACCTGGAGGCACTTCAGCGTCGCCACCCGATCTTCGGGCTGCCATGCTGCATCACGAGGCCGTTGCCCTTCTGCAGCTCCATGCTCAGGCTGTTGCAGCCAGCAACATCCGGAACCACGTCACCACCATCCTCGACGTCGATTCCGGTAACTTCAACCGCTGGCGTGATTAGTTCCTTCTCATCCTCGGCAAGTTCTCCCTCTAGGATCACGTTCAAGAGGAACCTCCAGCCCCAATTCCTCCTGATTGGGCCCGGATGGACTGCGTCATCAAGTCTTGGATTGTCGCCACGCTCACCGACGACCTTGGCGAGATCATCTCTGCCCAGGGCTCCACCGCTCGCCATGCCTGGCTCGCCGTCGAGTTGTAGTTCCTTGGCAACCGTGAGGCTCGCTCCATCCACCTCGAGACACGGTTTCGCAACCTCGTCTAGGGCGACCTCTCCGTCACCGACTACTGCCGCAAGCTGAAAAAGATGGCCGATGATCTCACGGCCCTTGGCGAGGTCGTCACCGACTGCACGCTCATCCTCAACGTGATCCGCGGCCTCAACGAGCGCTTCAGCCATGTTGGGACGCTCCTTCATCGAGCTCGACCGTTCCCTGGAGGCTCGTGACGACCTCATCCTCGAGGAACTCACCATGGAGACCCACAAGGATGCACCTGCCACTGCGCTCGCCGCCTCCACCACTCCCAGCCCTGCTCCTACGTCCTCCGGCACGGGCGCTAGTGGGCACTTCAAGCCGCCTAACAACCGTCGCAGCAAGCGCGGCGGGTGGCAAAAAAGGCAACAGTGGCGGTGGCCCTCCTGGACAGGGGTCACGCCCCAATGGTGGCGCCCAACAGCAGCAGCCGGTCGATGGGCGGCCATGGCCCAGCGTCTATAACCCCTGGACCGGAACCATTTAGATGTGGCCAGGGGGACCTCGTCCACCGCTGGCACCCATCCTAGTGCCTCCTCACTGCAGTGCAGCAACGCGCACAACAACAACAGAGCACAACATCACGCTGCGTGAAGAGGCCTTCCTCGCCCAACAAAGCGAGAACATGCCCTTGTTGTCCACCGAAGAAGACCGCACGCCTCCTCCCTCCTCCGATGGCAGATTTGGGCCGTTGGGTCGCCCCCGGGTATTACAACCCGACGGCCGGCCTCCCCTCTTGGGACTCGACAGCCCTCGCCTCCGCCTTCAGCATGTAACAGAATCGACCAATTATACGAGATTAAGTAAGAAAATCTTCCGTCGAAGCAGATAATTTAGCAAACTTAAACCCGTATAACCCGGTAGTCCGTGAAACCACGAAGGATTTCAAATCAATCGACATACAAACCAAGATCGTACAAGTTTAGCAAGTACCGTCACACGTTACATAAAGTTCGCAACGTCAGTTGATACATCAGAGTTTGGAACATAAAGTTATTACATACTAAGTTCGAACTGAAATAGCGGAAGCAAATAGTTTTAAAGCCACACACACACTTTTGATTCAGATACAGTGCCAGTAGGTAGTCATCTCCAACAAAAGCATCAGATGAGAAATATGGAGTGACCATTTGCCCTTGGTCCTAGTTGTCACCCATTGCCGGATACAGGCAGTTAATGCAATAGTCATAGTACATTTGACCATCTGCAACAACAATGGGAACAACGCCCTGAGTACGAGAAGGTACTCAGCTAGACTTACCCGCCTTAAACCAAAATAAAACGACACCAAGGATTATGCAAGGCTTTCTTTAGTGGGCTAGCTGACTCTTTTGCGAAAGCATAAGTTATCATGAATAAATCATTTTAAGTACTTTGCATCATCTTTATTATAACCTACCCATCTAGGTAAGCACCTGTACTATAGCAATCACATGATTAACCAATAACATCCAGTTACCAATTTAGCTTAGCATAACTGACATCATCCAGATAACCATCATTGTTCCATAATAATTACTACGATGTCGTAGCTCGAGTCAAGAGCTCACTATCCAGGAGCGATGGTGATTCGAATCGATTTCTAACCAGCTGGTGATTTATTCCTCACACAAACCATGCTTCCCCTGCCAGGGTAGCTTAGATCACAAATGACACTTTTCAGGTAGCCGCGGGATAATCTGGAGCCGCAGTACCCAGGGACCGCCCGACTACCAGGAATCAGGTCACACCTGCCCTTGGGCTCACTCTTTGCGCCCCTGTCATACCCCCATCAGCACCAATACGCGCACTCGTGTAGATCCTGGCCCGAATAGTGCCACTAGCTTCGCGGTCGAAAGGTACTTTATTCGGCCAGCTAAATGTGAGGCATGCGTTCAACATGACAAGAGGGACGAGCAACGATCGGTCCTTAATCGACATAGATTGAAAACTAACAGCACCCCAGAACCCTGTCTGGTTGCCTCCAACTATTCCGTCCGGTCTCCAATTTTCCATCACATATGGTTAATTCCAGGATATCATTCTTTCCATAGCCAATCTCTTCCAGTAACTACCTATAATGTAGGTGACCGGGTATCACCGATTGCTACCGGTCTAAGCAAGGCTAAGCAGTTATTCGATCCTGACCTAACAGGGTAAAAGGTAATAAGGTAGGCAAGGATAGTAATAAATGCATCAACGGTTTTAATCAACTCCTACAACTTAATGCAACAATATATAAACTCATATATATATAGAAAGAATTGCTTTTATAAAGTAGGAGACTTAGAATGCTCCGGGGCTTGCCTCGTTCGAACGAACTAGGTTGGTGATCCACGCACTCCGGCAAGTCCTCTCCTTGCTCCTCTTCCTCTGGCACCTCCTGTGCCTGGACTTCTTGTGGATCTGTCCCGGTCTGCTCTTCCTGAACTGCTACTAGCAACTCCTCCTGCGATCCTGTATGATGTAGATGTATAAGTGCTAATACATTGGTGCATCGGAGAGATGACATGTAATGATCATGATGCATGAAATGTAGATGACCATGTTTAACTTTATTGAACATAGTAGTAGCAAAGCTCGTCTACAAGGTAGTCGACATCATCCAAGAACATGTACTACTATCTACTACGACAACCATTGTACTAACATGTCAAATCACCACAGCAAGTTAAGATGCTTCAAAGATACACCAAAGCAAACATTATTAACTAAACATGCATTAAAGAAGATTATTTTATTTCATTTTAAACTAGGGCTACACAACAACATATATTTCTAGTGCTCATAAAAATCTAAGAAAATTACAGTAGCATAGTACTACTCTAAGTAGACTGCCATAAAATTTTTATGACATTTGGATAAGTAAAATAGCCTACCCAAAAATGACAAGCTATGGTTGATAATTAAGCATGAAAATACTTTGTACTATGAAAAGTGTCAAACAACAGATTTGGTATTTTTTCTATGTTCTACACAGTAAACAATCACTGCACAAAAAATATCATACACATGTTTTATACAATTTTGGCTCTCTATCAAAATAACAAAAATCATCAATTAAAGGCACTTGAACTACACATCAATATTTTTCTACAGAACATGCATGACATATATTTTTCCTACAAAGTACATCACTAAAGGAGATTAACAAAACTAGAACCACATTTTTCTGATGTATATTCTATTTACTAGACATTTTCTAAGAAATTAGCATTTATTCAATTTAAATAAAATTACACGGAAAAGTATCACAAATTTGACATGCAATATTTTTGGCAGATAGATCTAGTCACAAGAAACATAGCAAAACTTATTTCAACAAATTTGGAGCCATTTTGAGCAAGTTATAAATTTCCAAAGCCTTTAAACAAAATATGTAAATCATTTCTTAATTTCATTCTAAAAATCCATGTTCGAAATTGCTAGATCCACCCGGATCTCTACCTGAACTTGCACCCAGTGGTGACAGGTGGGTCCCCTAGCCCCACCAACAGTCACTAAAGGCGAGGCGCTCGGCTGGCATGGCAGTTCTCGGCCACCGAAACTTGCTTGGCGGTGAGGT